TTTTCTTCGCGAACAGCTTGGGCACAAGCTGTATTTTTTTTCGGGAGGGGGTTCAATACTTACCGGATTGATAGCAAATGTTTAATTTTACATTCAATAAATTATGCACGTGGTAATAAGGTAAAATCAACTATAAAATTTAGCCGCCAAAAATGTAAAAGCGGCTTTAATGGCACGTTCCATTGTAACTGATTTAAGGAAAAACGATCCCTCACTTCGTCGACTTGCGGAAGTATTTAGATTATATTTTTACTGTATTGGCGATTGGTAAATTTATCTTCCGTTACTTCCTGGGTTTCTTGAACGTGGCTCCAGTCACAAAGGAAGCGATGATTAAAAAGAACCTTAGCTTCTATTAGCGTCGCAAAGGTCACTTGTCCGGAATTGGTGCTGAAGGAAGTTTAATTGTTTATTCGGCGTAGACCGTTATGTCGTCTCGACGTCAATTCCCACTGTTGGTTTTACTTTTAATTAGATCATCTGTTGTTTTTTTCTCCTGGCAATTGCTCTCCTTAAATATGCTCAGTCACAAAGGAGCAGGTGTGAAAACTAACATCTTCCTCTATAAGCGTTTTCCGGGTCAGTTGGTGAGTAAAGCCACTTTTTAGCTCAAGGATGACGTAGTCATGCCATGGGCTTTTGGAGGCACTCGAATGGCACTCACTCACTCACTCACTCACTCACTCACTCGATTCTCATTAATTTATTGATTTAAGTCAGATTAAACACTTTACTCTTACCTCCCCTACTTAGTATTACTTTTGTTCCAAGTGCCTTTTACACATATGTTTGGCGTATTCTAGAGGGTACTGATAAAAGCGTACATTTTTTCCCGACACATCATAGAGATGGGGTTTGTATAATGGGGATATTCTAAAGAACACTGACAATATCATGTGCAAGAAATGGACTTGGCATTGTTAAAAGGACATTGAAATAATTGAGGGTGGATCGTTGTCGTATATTAGGACGAATTGTGCACATTTGTTCCCGATATTACTTGATAAGGAGAAGATGCGATCGACAGGAGTGTGAAAGAGCTATCGCAGCCTGACGATCGCGATGGGATTTCGTTTATCGAAAAGCGAATAAGCCAAAGAGCCTTTATAGCTGCCAAAAAAACGGCCCTCAAATTGTTAAAGCGACATTGAGGAGTATCTTTGGTGGTTTATTCAATTATTTGGACGAATCCATTCGACGATTTGTCTTCGTATGCAAATAGGGAATGAATTAATGTGTGTCAACCAGAAGCACAGGTTTTAGAACCAACAAGCGTTACGCTATTTTGCTTGAATTCTTAGGTGATCTTTGCCCAGCAGGCTTTTGTTTGTCGATGATCCCATTTATCAGTGCTATTTAACGTAATTTGTACAGAAAATGCTGCGCTGGTATAAACAAGTTTCTAAAATATTCAGGTAGAGAAAGGCAATGGGATACTTCGACTGCGTTTAAATTACTTAGCTAGGTCAGAGCACGTACACGAGAGCACGTTCGAGCTTAGTCCGTTTGATTAAAATAATTTCTAGTTAGTGTTTAGCAAAAGCGCGTTCTTCCTTTCGCTTGACCCATCCTAGCTGTATTCTTATTGTAATTATAGTTTGTATATTTTATAATTGTAATATAGTTTTTTACTCTTTTTAGTCTTATCCACACATATATTAATAGTTCTTTTTCGTTAACGATAAGTATTTTGTCACTTAATTTTTGTTTTATAATTTTAGTTTGAGGGCCACTAGTTATTCAGTTGAAGTATACCCGTGTTACCCTCGTTAAATAAAGTTCATTATTATTATTATTATTATTATTATTATTATTATTATTATTATTGTTATTAACGCTGTGGCTATATGGCCGGTAACCGGTCAAGGTTTTCAAAATACTAAATGGCCGGCAGTTCTATATTCTCAGTAAATTTCACAAAATCGAAAGATTCCAGCTAATCTAAACTATCATATGTCGATTTAGAAACGTCAAGCAATCCTGAAATGCTTTACAGATCTCAAGTCTAGTGTTTGGATTGCGCTGGGCACAGAGGAGGAAGTCATGTTTTGTGACACTGACAAATTTTTTCAGCTCGACTGCCGGTCAAGGTTTTCAAAACACTAAATGGCCGGCAGTTCTATATTCTCAGTAAATTTCACAAAATCGAAAGATTCCAGCTAATGTAAACTATCATATGTCGATTAAGAAAAGTCAAGCGATCCTGAGATGCTTTACAGATGTCAATTCTAGTGTTTGGTTTACGCTGAACCATGTTTTGTGACACTTTTCAGCTCGACCGCCGGTCAAGGTTTTCAAAACACTAAATGGCCGGCAGTTCTATATTCTCAGTAAATTTCACAAAATCGAAAGGTTCCAGCTAATCTAAACTATTTCAATTTTGTGAATTTACTGAGAATATAGAACTGCCGGCCATTTAGTGTTTTGAAAACCTTGACCGGCAGTCGAGCTGAAAAAATTTGTCAGTGTCACAAAACATGATTTCCTCCTCTGAGCCCAGCGCAAACCAAACACTAGACTTGAGATCTGTAAAGCATTTCAGGATCGCTTGACGTTTCTAAATCGACATATGATAGTTTAGATTAGCTGGAATCTTTCGATTTTGTGAAATTTACTGAGAATATAGAACTGCCGGCCATTTAGTATTTTGAAAACCTTGACCGGTTATCGGCCATATAGCCACAGCATATTATTAAAGCAGTTTAATTTAGCCACAAACGCCTGTATTCTGTAATTAATAGCTCGTACCACAAAAACTAACCGTTACGTACTCTTTGATAACAGCATATGGAAACATTTATTTAAAAGCATCGCACTTATTGGAAACCTTCGAGGTCCATTAAAATAGTTGTTTAAAACCACTGTTTAAATAAAACTCGGGCTTATGTAAAACTTACCCGCCCTATTTTACAAGAAAGTGCACCATCGTTCGGAAAGTGTTTGACAGTCACATGAGAAAGCAAATTATTTTACAACTAACAACCGTTAATACTTGCTTAAAGTGATCTTTGCGTTATAAGTAGAAATACTGCACTGATAACAAGTTTCTAGAATATTCATGTGCACATCGAGTCACGCAGTAATTTGGCAAGTCCGTACACAATGAACCGTCCAAAAAGACTTAAAATGTTTTTCTTTGATTATTGAACTGTCTTTTCTATACTAATTCAGTTCATCCATGAGCTCGTTCCTAGGAGCCTTTGATTTAAATCATCAATGTCCCACTTCCTGAAAAACGTGTCAAGACCACTAGTCTTAGAAACCTGTGTCGCTGAAACGGGATAGATTAACCCGCTTAGGTCGATGTTGCTGAGAGGCTAAACTGGTTCTTGTCTTTGATGAGGAACTGAATTGCAGTTGTAATACAATAGTTGATCCTGGATTGCTGAAACGGCTATGGTATATTAGTAACGTAAAATTGACGAACGATTCAACATTCACAAGCATTCACAAGCAGCTGTTAACAGTAAGAAAAGCCTGAAACGATTTTATGAAAGAATATGGTAAGTGTCCAAATAGTAATTAAGGAGACTAAATATGCTAGTAACCTTCTGCAGTAACCAAACATGAATTCAGCTGGCGCGGCTTCGCTGCTCTGTTTGTTGCGAGACAAATGGACTGTTTGCCTTCCGTTAGAGTTAAGAAGGAGAAAGAGAACATTTGTTAAAACGGAAGGCATAAAGAATTATTTGAGACAAACAGTTTTAAGCTTCTTTTATTCGCTTTGTTGGTCGCAAGCTTCTCACATAGTATTCTGAGACAAATTTTCTCGTCCATGTCGGAGAGTATACTTTTGGCATCACGATCGATGGTCACGGTATCCTTTACTAAAGAGTAGCAGTTATGCGATCATGAGTTAGATAAACGATAAGTTTACGTACCAACGACAACAAAGGCATATGCCGGCTATAATTTTGCTTTTGAGTTATATATACACGTATAAGACTTACTTCAGCTTTTAGAAGGGAAAACCTTGTTTTTCCTAGATGATCCTGTCCCCTTAAAAATTGAATAGTACCAAATTAGATTTGATTTGCCTGCAAGCTAGTATAGTGATTTTTGCTATAAACACTGGTGCCTCGCATTACATGTCCCACCAAAATTTTCTCAGCGACTCCTCCAACCGCAAATTGTTTACTGTTGTCTTTCCTTTACTAATTAGTTTTAAATTTAAAGCTATTTGTATCAGAATAATGGTTTGTTTTTAGACCCTTTGCCAACGCAAAAACGTCTTTTACTAACAAATTGTCTTTTTTTTTGTAACTGTTGTAGGCTCAGTCGGGACGAGGACCTTTGACTGCTTTCATTCTTTTATTCTGCTTGGCTGTCCAAGTAAACTGTAATGTAGGTGATTTTATACTTTAAACTATACGTAGATTTATTTTACGCTTCTAGCTTCCCAAAGAGTTTTCACAAAATCTGATTTTGTATTTGCAATGGGTGTAATAACAGGCAGTAGTGATTTTCAAATTTAGGGTACTGTAAACAATGAGAGAAAGGAAGTAGTCGATTCACTACTGAAAACGCCTGATAATTATGAGATTATGCCCACTACCTTTTCATCTTTATCAAAGCTCCTTCGCTTCGTAAAAAAGCTACCTCGTTACCAAATGTGCTTAAATGTAAAGTCTATCCCCTTATTACATCTATTTAACAGACATGAAGAGTTGCGTTAACCTTAGTTTTAAACATCATCCATGCAAAATTGAAACGTTTTTGTAGGTCAGAAGGGTTAAAGTTGCTGCCCGCCCCACTTCCGGCAGAGGCAATGTATACGAAAACAAAGATTGGTGCTATTTTTCATCGAAGAGTTAGATACAAACTGTGCACCAAAAAAAAGCTAACCAAGATAAACCAGCACCCTTTACTGTTTGGTTTTCCTAAAATAAGCTCTTAACTAATGTTAGTCCTTTAATTTACGCCCTGATAATTTATCTACGTTAGGCTACGCATATTTTTTATATGATTTAAGAAATACTTTTCCTTCTTATGGATGTCTCAAGGTTGATCGCTACTCTTTTCAAATCGTCGAAAAAGGGACATTAGTCAAGGAGGAAATAGAAATAGACTTGGAAAACCAAAAAGAAGTGGTCCGAGTGCCTCAACACAATGAAGTGGATGCAATGGATTTGTTGAATGACTTTAATGCGGTGAGTCATTATAGGTTATAATTAAAACTGAATAGCATTCTCGCACAGACTGGTTAAAAATTATATATTTGGTCTCACATGTAGCTTTCCATTATATTCCATTCCATGTTGCTGAAGTATTAGGACTTTTAAAACGGGGTTAATACCAACTGTTGGTCTGAAATGAACTATATTCTTATTGAGGTCTTTATACAAACACAGGGTTTATCTGTTCGTCGTGTTCCATCAACGCAGGATTGCTATGTGTTTCAATTGGACCCATCTTTTCCCACGCCACAGAAACTGAAACTTGACATGGAACAGGTGAGTTTCCGTTGTAATGAAGGAAATGTCAGTGTAAGAGTAGTAATTCCAATATTCAAAGGAATTCAGGTATGTCGTACGCAGTACGGTTTAGAGAACCTTCAAAAGATCAAATATGCTCTTATTTATGTACACGTATCATGGCATTTTTGGAAAAAAAAATTAATTGTTTGACGAATCGGCGCTATAAGATAGAGAGGGCCAGTGACCTTTCAAGTTGAATGTAAGAACCTTTAGGGGATTAATCATGAACGTGTCTTTTTCAACAGAACAATCAAGAGTGAAGGTAATCAGGGTTTGTAAGCTTCAAGAGTTTTGTTTTGAGCAGTGTTTAGGGTTGTTATTAGAAACAAGAGGGTCACTTGCAGCGAGCTTGGCGATTTGAAATAATTAAGAGGCAGTCTCCCTAAAAGCGGTCCACTCGATTTCGCGACAAAAAATACTTTTCCTTTATTTTTTGTCGGTGAAGAGGCTTTAGTAGGTGTATACTAAAATCGCTATTTTTGTTTTCAAATTCTTNATAATTAAGAGGCAGTCTCCCTAAAAGCGGTCCACTCGATTTCGCGACAAAAAATACTTTTCCTTTATTTTTTGTCGGTGAAGAGGCTTTAGTAGGTGTATACTAAAATCGCTATTTTTGTTTTCAAATTCTTATTCTTAGCTTTGCTACAAGCCAAAAACGAATTGACTCCGTCTCGGCTTCTCAGAGAGTGTTTCAAAGACTAAAATTGGTGGATATTGAAAAGCGCCTTGTAAACAAACGAATGCCCGCACAAAAAATCTGTTAGATTCAGCTTTTTTAGTTAACCTTCGATAGTTCACAGGCTACACAAAAACATCTTTGATCAAAACATGTTCAAGTTACAGTGGTTTAAAGAATACCTATTTTGCAGGCTTAATCCAAACCCTGAAAGTAAGGAAGATTTGAGGGAAAATATCTCAAAAGTTACGGCCTAAATCTGTTTAAAAATCATATCAAAGTAAAGAGTTAAGCTTATGTTTTTGGTTTATAGGCTCAGACTTGCGGGTATCTTCTAGGATTGCAACCAACAGTAGATTATAATCTGCCATTTTGCGTATTTGCATAATTACTGGCCGTGTCAGATGTCATGATTGTACAGGTTAAGAGTTCCATGAAATTGCCTCTTTTGACACTTTTAATTCGTCTCCGGCCTTTAAAAGAAAGTAATTAAGCTTCTTTAAGTACTTTTGAATCGAAAGAGATATATTAACAGGGATGGTCATGCATGTTACTGACAACAATATTTTGCCTTTTTGTAGAAAAGTAAACTGGTTATAAAATTTGGTTGTTTTCTATTGGGGTCGACCGTTTTCGCTTAGTTGGTTTAGTTGTTTGTTTTTTGTGTGTATGTGTGTTCCGTTGGAACACAGGCTGAGTTGTAGTGTTCCGCAGCCACCTTAGCTGTATGGACTACCAAAACTACTACTACAATAGACGGATCGAAACGCACCAATTACTGATTACGAGTCTTCATAGCCAATAACATCAAGGCTTAACTGACAGACGACCAATAACATCGCAACGTAATTGACCAATCAGACCAATAACCAGAGTATAATACCATCAACTGACGTGATACAATTCACTTTGACTCTGAAGATGACTACCGCACAGGTTGTCGAAACGTCAGTCACTGTCAACAACAAAAGTCCTCTTCAGGACTACGTTCACCCGGACGATCAAACTCAACCTACTTTTAAAAAAAGCGTTAGTTGCTATAGTTGATCAACGTTTTCAAAAGACTCAGAACTTGGATGAAAGGATTGAAAACGATGGTTATCATCCATTGATCTGTTACAGGAATCGATTTTCAAGTGCTGTATTATTTTTCTGCGAATTTCTCACGTGAAGTGCTCGCGTCAGCCTCACGAAAAAAAATTGCCAGCAAACGACAACAGTGAGGCCTTTGCGCAAATTCTAAAGCACTCTAATATATAGATTTAACCAGGGATAAAAGCGAAACTCCCATTAATAAATTTATAATTTAAATCAAACAATAAACTTGTAATCCACAACTCAATTAACTTAAGGGCATGTTCATGTGACTTTTGAGGGAAAGGCTAAGTGATTTTGGAGTAAAACATCTTACATCGAGTTGATAGCCTTATATGTACACCAAAAAAATAGCAATCATCTTCGATCACATTCAAGAGCCATAATGGCTCTTGATCACAGTAAATTAGGCCTGGAAAACAAATTCTTGGAAAACAAATCAGGCCGAATTTTTTGCGTTCGACAAGTTTACTTTACAAAATCTTGCCAACAAATCTGGGGGTGTTTGATCCAATCTTTTAATATACTTGTTATACATCACATCTGAGGTGAAACAGTACTATGAGGCGCTGTATTTATCATACAGACCTCGGACAGGATGCAGTATTTCACAATTTTTCAAGGCAAATTGCACTCAGTCAATATTCAGGACGATCAATCGTAGGCTTTTAGCGAAACCGTTCAAAAAATTTCCAAAATCACCTATGCGGCCAGACGATTATTTGCAGTGCGAGCTGTGGTAGAATGTTTGAATGGACATAAATAGAGTTACGCTGCAACATAACAAAGAATTTATTACGTTTATATTTTTATTTAATGGTTTTATCACGATGTGTAATTTTTAAAAGCGTTTGATACGCGCTGGGTTTTGAGTACTCCTGCAAGAGATGTTCATGAACGACTGAAAACAAACGGCACAGCGATTAAAATTGCAAGATAGACTATTAACAATCAATAAAAAAAATATAATGCGGTGAGCCATTTACACAGACAACAATTTTTATTCGCGAAGACAAGTATTAAAATGTCTCTAAAAATCCTGAGTCTTTAAGCTTAAAGCTTAAGTTTATGTTTTAAGCCGGCCTCCCGGTGTTTGCTTTTTCAAAGGTGAATAGTTTTCTTTCTACAGCCGAATTTATAACTAAATATTTTTCGGAAAGTTTTCTTTCTATTTGCCGTGAGAAAATATATCTAAAGGCTTTTTAAAGTTCTGTAAGCTTATATCAAACCTGATACTAGGTCAGATCATTGTCTCAAATCTTACAAACGTGCATAAACTTGCCGCATAAACTGTGCTCGACTCCATGAAATTAAATATGAAAAAAAAAAACAAACATCAAATACAATAATTACTCAGGTTTACCATTCGAGACCGAGCTCCTGAAAGCTATCAAGTAAGGCCAGAATCGCTTGAGACTTTTAAACCCTCTTACGCATCAAGCAAGGTAAAAAACGAAAACGATGGCATCCGAAATCGGATTTCCGACTTTGACAAGCGACGCATTTCTCAACCAAAACCCAGTAAACAAACCAGCCATGAATAACAGAAGACTCTTGATAGCAGCTGTATTTCATTTTGTACATGCAGTGGAAAGAGACAGTTAAAAACATCACAAGTTGACACAACTCTGTCAGCTTCAGCTGTCATAGTAAACAAGTTTCAAGATGCTGCATAAATTTTCCGCATGAAGGCACCTGTCAAATTTTGACCAATCAGAGCATAAAAATTGGAGGTAGAGGATGACCAACGTGTGACCATGGTAAGAAAAGGTCATTCCCGCCTGTATTTTAAAATAACTGGCTAAATTTTTGCGTCCGGGGTCACTTTAAAATCAAAATCTTAATAGTGCGAGGCCGTAGTGACATAAAAACAACATATTTCATATGAATTTTTACTGGGCTGCCCGGCAAGCCCAGTCATAAAATGGGTTTTCGGTCGTCGGTGTGAAAAAGTGGTCATCCGGGGGAGGGAAAAAACGAGGGTCTGGTACGTAGAAACGATGTTCTCACAAATGGTTTCATAGGATTTTCTCTTGCATGAACCCTTGCACGGATACTTTTTGTACCTTGTCTGCGCTCCCCCTGAAAAACCCACAAGGCGTTGCGAACCTGAAGAAGGCTATTTGCGTTGTTCGAAGCGATTCGACCATGGGAGTAACTCTATAATTTTTTTTATTGTTAGAGTTTAAGTCAGTTAGATGATGTTGGCGCTGGGAAACTCAGAGAAATGCTCGCGTTGCATTCAAACCGACACGCCATTCACGGTAGGTTCACACTAAAAGACTGAAAAGATGACTGTGAGCGTCAGGTTTGGAACGCCGTGGCTGCTTCGTGAACTATCGATCGATGTAGTACATGAGCAATTAAGAAGCACAATTTATGAGCAAAGTATTTCACCAGTTGACGACACTATGGCTGAAGACTTGATTGTAAGCCTCATAGTCAGTGAAGCGAACAACTCAGTTGCCGATGAATTGCAGATGAATCCTAATGTGACGCACGTCCATAAGCGAGGGACGTGACAACTTTGCCATGTTAGAAGACTGGCTTTTCCTTTAAATATTTCCTTCTATTTAATGCAACACACGCCACTTTGGAGATCTAAATTTCGGATACTGAGGAAAAAGAAGACACGGACAAAAATAGGAGCTCTGAGAATTTCGCACACAAGTTTAAAGCTTCTCCGGGACATCCCATCCGGGAGCTTCACAGAGAGGGACTTGAGGAAAATATGAGCTATTACCGACAAGGTTTGGTGACTGAGTAGAGCATACAAGTGTAGCCACGGCGAGGTTTCAGGGGATGTGCTTTTGTTTTTATCTGTATCTTGCTAAGCTTTTGTCATTAAATTAGTACAAGATCTTGTGATCACAATTCTGTGTTTTAGCCCATTAAGCAAGCACGCTATATTGATGTCAGCATTAGCGAGTTTCAGAAACATGCCTTTGAAAATTTTCAGCTCTCGTGATGTTTCTTGATATTTCTTTTACCATTTTATGGAGATGTAAACTGAAGTCACCGCAAAATGGAAACTTAAAAAAGCGTATAATCCATTTATCTCGAAACATAACACACATGACTTATACGACCTTTATTTTCGTAAAGGTGTTTTGAATACGAACGAACACAGTCAGTGTGAGGGGCAAAAACAGCATTAATATAAATGAACCATAGGATTTTAACTAATATAAGGGTCAATTAGTGTGCATTGAGATGAATCGCTTGAAAAGAGAGACTTCGCTTGAAGATGTGATCAGAAGTAAACAAAGGCATAATAGAGCGTCACGTTCAGTCTCTTTAATATCCAAGGAGTCACTGTGAATAGTGTTTCCATATTGTTTAGCTGGCACAAAAACCTCGCGCGAGTTATAAAGCGGCATAGTTATCTTCCATGAAGAAAAGTTAGTCTTGGGTGAGACAAACAGAACTGGAGCGAATTTTTAACTTTCAAAATGCAAAGGATTTTATTCCTTTAAGTTAGAGAAAAATACCGTGAGGAAAATCTTAAAACTGAATACTTTTCATCTTGTGGAAAAAATAGTGCGTTTTCATGCAGACTGTGGACCGCAAATTAGGATCGCACTTTTCATAAACATGCGAATTCTGAAGTTCAGAACCCAACCGACGATTGCGTTTTTCGCTGCTGTCAATCATCTTAACGGACCTCTTAGGAAACAAAACTTTACTTCACGGGTTCAAAAGGTCATGGTTTGTGATTTGTGGATTTCGATCCGTTTTGTGTGTTTCTCTGTTTCAAGGTTCGTTGCTTGTGATCGTAATTATGATTGACGGCAGCGATAAACACAATTGTGAAGGTGGCTTTTGAACTTTGGAGTTCGCATGTTTGTGAAAAGCGCAGTAAAGTCTCCGTGCAGTCAGTGAGGCCTCTGGATCAGGCAAAATCAATGGGCAGTTAATTGTCTGTTTTAGTATACTTCTGGTTTTCATACAATACAATCTTTCTGTCTAGTGTAAATCAGCTCAGTCTGTCGCATTTTATGCTCGTAGAAGGACAACAATTTTTGGAATTTCCGGTTACGTCAAATTGGTCACGTTATACTGTCACTCTATATTTTGGGGCACAGAGGGATTGGGGGAGGAGAGCGCGGAAATAATGCAAATTGTTTCCTGTTTAGAATTAATGGCTAACTTGTTTATTTTTATTCATAATGGTGGAATTTAAAAGTTATTATACAGCCCCCACTAAAAATGGTACTCTTTTTTTTTGGTTACCAAAGTCTTTCAAAAGGGTACAATGTTCTGAATGAGTTTATGTTTCAGTCTCACATGAGATTCTGTTGCATGCAATGGTTGCCGACAAGGTTTTATGGTAGCCTGAGTGTGTATAGTCGCCCCCTCCCCTCAGAAAAAATAGCCCCTTTGCAGACCAGTTAAAAATCGCCTCTCGGCGATTCTTGTTTAAAAATAATTTTAAGCCTGCGATTATTTGAAAACTAGTAACTTGTCAGCGCATAACTTTAAAAAGTACTCGACCTCGATGGGTCGATACCTGAGCCGGCGATACGGTCAGGTGATACTGGTCAGAGGATACCTTTTTTGACAGCTGTCAATTGATCACAACATTGATGTGCAATCAGTTTTCTCCTGGGCTCCTAAACAAGCTAGAAAATGTGATAGTAAACATTGGTTTCCCTGTGGTGCGGACGGACAGTCGTTCGTTCAGTCGGTGTACGGTCACGTGATTACTAAATTTTCTGGGATGGGTAGATTTACTTAATCATTGTGATCCGCTGGCGCCCGCTTCGCGCGCGAGAGAGCTCCGTTATAAATAGAACGTGTCAAGAAACAATTTTTTAGAACTTGAAATATAACCATTTCTGCATTGGTTTTAAATATTTCACTATAAGAAGGGGACGAACCATCTTATAACTCGGTCCTGGTTTTGAGAGTGAAGTAAATTTGAAAGCTGCATGAAGAAAATTCAGGTCATGCAAAGCGCTTTCCTTGCTCTCAAACTTCCCGCCTGCCTAAGAACTCGATATCAGTACCCTGAAACATTAATCAGTTGTTTATTTAACTTTTTTCAAGGCATCCAAGCAGCCTATTCCAAACAAGGTTTCTGCCGAGAAATTTATAACAAAAGTACTTGGTTTGGCGAATCGTTTGGCATTACCTCAGAGTATTGTGGATTTCTGTGGTACCTTTCCAATCTACATGGCAGAAGAAGTTCCAATGGACGCAATAAATGCAACATTTTACAAGATCCAAGGTGAGAATACCAAATGGCTATGTACGCCTGGTAACTCGTCCGATTTTTCGACCCAAAAACGGCTATTCGCTACTGGTACTACTGTTTTTGTCGAAGCATCTCCACTCTCGTGTTTAAAATTCCGAATTTTATTTCAGTTTTATAAACTTAAGTATAGCTGTAAGTAATCCGATATTGTCAGCAAAGCTACTATCCTTTAATTTTTACGAACTGTCCGATTAAGGACTTATTTGGATAGTTTCAGACAGGGCTTTCATTTACAAATAGGCAAACTGTCCTATTTAACAAAAATAGGACAGCTGGTCTGAGCCAATCCAATGCCAGAAAATACAATACGCAATGCAAACTGTTGGCTGACGGCGGTTCGTCGGCGAACACTCTTGGCTTCTTGTTGCTAAGAATGTCGTTTTGTTTTGCTGCTGTTTTGTTTTGGCTTCTTGTCTAGGCCATTTAAAAGGAAAATGTATGACCAAACTGATAAAAGTTTGTATGGGAAACAATCAACGTGTAGATTCTTGAAAATGTACACTGGGCACTGAAACTTTGGACAGGAATAAGAAAACACTGATACTTATGTTTAGATGTTGGCATTACAAAAACAAACGGACAACGTCTGCAGAAATCGTTTGAGGTAATGAATGAAATGAAAAATAAAAAAGATAGTAATGCTGCGGCATATGATGAATATTACGCGCGCCGTGATTGGTCGTTGCCTATGAACTACAGTATTAGAGTACAGACACATGGATGAGGTCACGGGAAACTTGTTTTTCTCTGTTTTGCTCAACATGGCGCAAGGTTTTGAAAATGTTTGCAAGATTATTTTGGATTAAGGGACTTAGCAAGTGAAGGCCTTGAAAAATGTTTAGCAGGAGCTGTTTGCAAGTAATAAAAACAGAGAGACCGAGACAAAAATATCTCTTGATGACTTTAAAATGCCTTAACTGGAAGACGGGAGGTATTCACAACAGTTGCTTTCGTGTGTCATCACTATGAGAGACTCGCAGTTTTGCAGAATGTTTTCGCGATTATTCTGCTTTGAGCAAGTAAAGACCTTGAAAAACCTTTCGGAGAAACTGTATACAAAATAAAGAGGAAGTAGAGACGAAAAGTAGCGCTTGTGGCTTACAAAATGCCTAAACTGGCACAAATCATCGAGCAGTTAAGCGGTGCGAAGAAAGTGTTGTCATTTCTTCTTTTCTGTTCATATAAATCGAATAGATTCCATGTTGCCCGCGGAATAACGGCTTTGTGAAGGTTAGAGATATTTAATTTGACGATGCTGATGTCCTGTTTTATTTCTTCAGTATTTGTTCAAATGAAATTTAAGGTGAATTTTGTACACGGGCCGCTTAATATGGACACCCCCAGAGCCATAGCTAGCGGGGGGGTAAGGGGGGCAGCTGCCCCCCTGGATCTGTTGAGCCAGACACATCAAGTCTTTGGATAGATTTGCTTTCTTTAGACTCAGTTATTTTGATTGTAGTGACTTGCAATTGTTTGCCATTTTCATATTCGAGGTCGATTTTCCGGAGACATATCTCATGACAAGTGCTGAAAATAGCATTTCGGAGCCCCCAAATTTGAAAGGTTTCTGGAGGAGGATACCCTCAGAACCCCCTACAAGGCCTTTGGCAGTCGCGATAATTCCCCCCCCCCCCTCCCCCTTACAAAAAACCTAGCTACGGCCCTAACTCTGCTAATACGGACATTTTCTATGGCCCCCTCAGTATCCGCACTAAACGGGTTTTGACTGTTATAACTTACCACAAATATGTTTACTGCGACTGCGACTCCTACTCTTACAATCATTTCGATTTTTTTAGATAAAGGAAGAAAGAAGCGCCATCATCTTGTTAGTGCTGACTTACATCATTGTGGCGGTCCAGAGGGAAGAAGAATGGAATATTGTGTCAACAAACTCGGTCATTTCAATTTCAGAGTCCAATGTACATACAGAACAGCACATTGCTTTTATGTTGTCCAATGCAAACACGTTGGCCATCGTATAAGTGCGACATATAAGTGTTCAAAAATTGTCCATCACATTAATGTTAAAACTCTCTGCTGTGATAGTATATGCTGATTTACATTATACTACATTTTCGAAAGAAGATGCGCATTAGCAGAAGAGAAATAAACAGATTTTTTTTTTGCTTAAGCTAAACAATGATTTTTTGTTCTTCTTTTAAGACAAGGAAATGAATTCGTCCTGTTTATCACAGTTTTTGCATATATTGTACTGTTTTCGCTCGAGAGCCGAACTTTAAATTAATAAAAAGCCTGATGGGGCAGAATATCATGATTTAAAAAATATTATATGGAATATCATTGTTTTAATCATCCGATATCAACTAGGCCTACTCTGGGACCTAAAGTCGCCTAAAGTCGCCCAAAGTCGCCTTAAGTCGCCTTAAGTCGCCTAAAGTCGCCTTTAGTTTCCTTAAGTCACTTAATCATTCAAATCTTAACGAGGTTCAAATTGTCTTGTAGTTATTACTTTTTTAGTTTTCTATTTCCAGAATGCATGATTTCTCATAAAGTGTATAATAACCCGTGTTCAATAATATTAGCCACAGACCCACCCCACCCCCCAACAAAAAAACTCCCACGGTGACTTAAGACCCATTAATTTCTTCTCCAGCCCTCTAATTTATACATTTAATTACTTTACACAATTTACTACACGTAATAATTAGTCGTAAGCAATAAAAGAATAATCATTCCTGTATTGTTTAAGCAAAAATGACAACATATAGTACACAACTTTATCCAGTCACTTGTACAAGTATTTTATTAATTTCATCCGGGAGGTTTGTCTCATATTTCTCAGTAAAAATATTGTTTAAAAAGGCATTCAAAGGTTCAAGTTCTAGCTAAACTACATTAAACAGTGTGCAAAGAGAGTAGACAGGGTAGTGTCCAGGCACTAGCCCTGGGGTACTGGATTTTAGTCCATGTAAATTACCGACCCAGATTTTAAGAGCAACTAATGATAAGTTTTTTCTCCGGCACACAACCTCTGATCTGTATTTACCGTCGAATTATATCCATCTATCATTGACAGAAACACAATCACTCTTATAAACTTGAACACTTAGCTTAGCTTGTACAGTCGTCTCTTTCGGGTCTTCCCTTCCAGACAGAAATTCAAGCTTTGTACATCGAAGGTGCGTAATACTGCTCTTTGTTTATGTTGTCGTGATTGCTCCCTGCCAAACGATTTGATGTAATCGATCATTATTGATGAAGAACGTAGAAAAGCGAAATAATACTGTTCTTTCCTCCACGTTATGGCCGCCCAGAAAGTAGTGTGTTTTGATCACGTGACTAACTGGTCTGGAGGCGGGGAGAGGGCATGGAAATTAGCTTGCGACTGCAGTGGAATTCTGGGAGAAGCAAAATGGCGGATAGAATGTTGTACCTCGCGTTTTCGTATAAAGATCTCCTTTTAAATGGAAATTTCTGACATAATAATGGAAACGTTTACACTTGGTACTGCCATCGGTTTAAACATGACGCATAATGCTTCCTTTTGTGCTGAGAGCGTAAACGCTGCCGCGTGGAACAGACCGAGAGAGGTTGGTTGAAGCTAAGCTTAGTTGTTTACGTTTCTGCTGGTGCATAAATGCACTCATGAAATCAACCCGACTGGAAAGTTTCCAGAGAGACCATGGATAAGAGAGTACGGTTCACTAGCGAAGCAAGTATTTGGAAGTGTTTTGTTTGACTGAGACAGGAAAGGAGCAATATATATACGGCGAGAACTACAAACTTTTTGTTTTGAATTCAATTGGAAAAACATCCTCTTAGCCAAGCGTGTGGGGACAAACATTGGCAGAGCAACTGCCAAGACATACAATGGGGATCGTCATTTCCATAATGTGCGATATCGATAAGTGATTTTAGATGTTTTAAATTAATTACTTAAATGTTTGTTGTCAAATTATGAAAAAAAGACACTTCAATATAAAGTTTTTGCTACAAACCAGCTCACAGTATGTTACAGAGATGTATTGAAATACTCTACTTTTATGGTTTTATTTTTTGGAAAAAGAAATGCAGGAACCATTGATTTTTTGTCCCTTATATTATGAAATAATGCATTTAAAGACCAAGAGAAAATTTACCCTTTTGGTTGCTTCTAACTCAGATTTTGTCTCTGCTAATGTAATACTAAACCAACACCCTTGATATTAGCCTGTGCCACAGATGGAACTAAACTCTGGGTTAAGTCCATCTGCAAAACAGTGGCAAAATCCTAGTTCTGGGCCCCCTGTGTGTGTATCAGGATTAGAGAACATGCCAGGACTGGACTGTTAAAAATGCCATTGTCCATTTGCCAATCATGTTGAAGGGGAACTCAAAATGCTGGTAATTCATTTAGTGCATCAGGGCCCAGAACAAGGATATTAGAGCTGCTTCACGAATGTTACTAACCACGGTTAGAATACACCTGCAACACAAGCTACCTTGATATTTAATGTTCAAAATATTAGGTAGCTGAGATTGTTGAAAATTTGGAAGACTAATGTAGATGTCTTCAAGACTGAATTAACTTATGCTACAACATTGTGTCCCTAGAGAGGTAGTGTTATCAGATTTTGATTTTGATTTTGTATATGTTGTAGTTCATTTTTATTTCAGTTAATTTTTATTTTTCCATCGTTTCTGGGTATGGTCGTGTATGCTAATGAATTTAAAACAAAGGGAAACCAAAAATTAACTGAAATTAAAAATTAACTGCAACATATTGACACTAACATGTAACTCACCTAAATGTCACCTTTTTCTCCTTAAGTCGCCTAAAGTCGCCTTAAATCGCCTAAAGTCGCCTTAAATCGCCTTAAGTCGCGCAACATTTTGACCAAATTTTCCTAAAGTCGCCTTAAATCGCCTTAAGTCGCCTAAAATTACGGCGACTTAAGGTCCCAGAGTAGGCCTTCAACTATCTGTATGATTAGGCTTCTAAAAATTTGCTGTAAGAGAATTAAGAGCAAGT